GGATGGGTGGGTGGGTGGATGGATGGATGGAGCTGTGACCCCCTAACTATTTTGGAGGTGCAGGGATAGACACGGAAAACTGTTGTAGAGGAAAATTCCAGCACACAGAAGAAGCCAGGGAGCCTCTTTAAGTCAGTGATAGAAGTAAAACCCATCGTGAGGCTCTGCTGGAAAATGCAGCACTGCTTTTTGCCCGTTGGTAACACAGCTAGGAGATGTTTTTACACAATGTAATGTCAGCATTGCTAGGATTCCTGTTTTAACCGCTGGTGCCAGTGTGACTGTTGTGCAGGGTGTCTCTTCAGGGCGATCAGACAGATTTTGGTCTATTGTTATATTTAACCTCCCCACGCCACACTGGCCCTTTAAAGTTCTTAATTTCAGTTTTCACATACAACTTAGAGTAGCCATGTATCGAAGCGCTGATAATAGTACAAAACCCACTGAATTAGGTAAATGTCAAAAGGACATCTCACATCCAGCCTCCATGGAATATTTTGCTAAATATGCATTCGCTATTTGGACCCCATTCTACTAGATATTTGGGGTGCAATCCAGGCTAAAAGTGAAGGTAGTGAGAACGTCATCATCATGTTAACGAGGCCACGAATTCCACCTCGACCGCTGATGCCTCACTCGCACAATGCAGGAAAGCAGCAAATGTTTGCAAATACGGAACACGCCATTTCTGTTTGATGTTCTGAGTCACGTGCTCCAAAAGGCTTTCCATTTTATTTAGACTAATTCTGTATTTTCCCACCAGGAACCTCAGCTCTCCAGCAAATTGGCAAGAGAGGCTTGTTTTGAACTCCGTAACAATCACATGTTTTGATTGCCTTTCAAACAAACTTTTTAAAGCAAGGAAGTAGAATCCTATTTTTAAATACCGTATCCAGTATTAACGTCAACTTTGGGGAAAAGCACGCTTAGGCTTCGAGCTCCGGCTGAGGTAGATGTGCATTTGCTCGTGCAAATGAAACCGTTAGCGTCGCATCCCAAAGCCTCTTTCAGTTTGAAGGGATTTTAATTGCCTTCAGAAAAAAAAAATATAATAAACTCAGCTCGTCTTGTCATTCACCTAATGGAGGGAGCCGATAAAGAGATAGGGGCGGTGGGCTTCGCTCTCACTGCACTCCCTTTGTACTCGGTTTACTTTGGCATGCTGCCTCGTATGTATTTTACACTTCTTTACATTTTGTACACCGATTTATGACAAATACTTGTCAAACAAAAACTAAGCAGATTTATAACCGCTTAACTTGAAATGAGCCCTTCCTGCCAAAACTTTATGACTTCATTTTCTTTCATAGTTTTCCACTCTCTTGGTTCAAACAGACAAACCCAGCCTCAGGTCAGACAGAGGTCATTTCACTTTCATTACTAAAATATAATTTACAATATGCCAGACCTAAACAAGTTTTAGCCTAAAGGATTTGTATAATGTAAACCATCTGCTCCTCAACAATATAGTTAATTTCCTGCCATCACTGTGCTGTCTACTGGCTGCCTGCTTTAATAGAATTATTATTATTATTATTATTATTATTATCATCATCATCATCATCATCATCATTGTTATTGTTGTTGTTGTCATTGTCGTTGTCGTTGTTCTTGTTATCATCAATGCAGTATTTATCTAAAAGTCCTAAGTGGTCAATATGAGTAGAATTCATTTATTCCAAAATGTCTTTTTCAAATTATTTTTTAAACATCAGTTCTCTTCCTACGTTGCCACTATGTTCTGTTATTTCAGGAATGCAAATGTCAATGTTTACACCAGTTTACGAAACATGGATCCCAAACTCATTAGCCTTAAACTACTACTTATGGCTATAGCGAGGGCACTAAATGAGTGAGTTTGGGTGCAGGTGTTACAAGCAAATGTGGAAGTTAACATCTGAAAATCGTACATCTTTGTTATGGCCTAGGAATAAATATATGCACCTAGAATAACAATAACGTTCTTTAAAATTTTGCCATTCTTCTTTGACCGCTGTCTCAGTTTCTCAGCTGACTCCGTCCTGCGAGTTTCAGGATTGAGCATTCAGTTGGGTGTGAGCAGAAATAGTCCCTCCTGTACGTAGAAGGGTTAATAGCAAAGTCGAGGAAGGACTGGCTACAAGGATATAGTGTTTTAGAAGAAAAGTTTTCTGCTAAAACTTTAGGCCCTGGCCCAGCAAATGCTTCAGCATGTACTTACTTAAAGTATATCAGTTACCTCAATTCCTGACATTAGTCAGATCAGATTTTCAGTATATAAATGCCCAAGCCCAAGTATATAAACACCTTGGCTGAAATGCTGATGGTTCCTGCCTACATTTATGGCTCATACTCGCTACTTGTATCTGATCTTGTGTAGAGGGTAAAAAGTAATTCTAAATTTAATTTTGGAGCAGGGTGCCCAGAGATGAGGCAGCACTTGGCCCTGAGCTTCACCAAAGGTGGGATGCTGGTGTCCCTCAGGCTGTAGCTGGGGCTGCTCCCCTCTCACCAGTGCCTGCATCTCCCAGGGCTGAGCAAAAAATATCTTTTACTTAAAAATACATTTTCAGTCCTGTTTTTCTAAAGGTGGTTTTGCTGTTGTTTCTTTAACAGAGCAAGGCTAAGGAGCTGCCTCTATCTGCCGTTCGTTTCATGGAAGAACTGGGCGAGTGCGCTTTCGGCAAGATCTATAAGGGACATCTCTACCTTCCAGGCATGGATCACGCTCAGCTCGTCGCTATCAAGACACTGAAAGACTTCAACAACCCCCAGCAGTGGGCAGAGTTCCAGCAAGAAGCGTCGCTCATGGCTGAGCTCCATCACCCCAACATCGTTTGCCTCTTGGGCGTTGTGACCCAGGAGCAACCCGTCTGCATGCTTTTCGAGTACATGAACCAAGGAGACCTCCACGAGTTTCTCATCATGAGGTCGCCGCACTCGGACGTCGGCTGCAGCAGTGACGAGGACGGGACTGTAAAATCCAGCCTGGACCACGGGGATTTCCTGCATATCGCCGTCCAGATCGCAGCAGGGATGGAGTACTTGTCGAGCCACTTTTTTGTTCATAAAGATCTCGCCGCTCGTAACATTTTAATTGGGGAACAGCTTCACGTGAAAATTTCAGACCTTGGACTCTCAAGGGAAATCTACTCGGCAGATTATTACAGAGTTCAGAACAAGTCCCTCTTGCCAATTCGCTGGATGCCACCAGAGGCAATTATGTATGGCAAGTTCTCCTCCGACTCAGATATTTGGTCGTTTGGAGTTGTTTTGTGGGAGATATTCAGCTTTGGACTCCAACCCTACTACGGATTTAGCAACCAAGAAGTCATAGAGATGATCAGGAAAAGACAACTGCTGCCGTGCTCTGAAGACTGTCCTCCCAGAATGTATAGCCTGATGACAGAGTGCTGGCACGATCTGCCATCCCGGAGGCCACGGTTTAAAGAAATCCACGCCAGGCTGCGCTCGTGGGAGGGTCTTTCAAGCCACACTAGTTCTACTACCCCCTCGGGTGGGAACGCCACCACTCAAACGACTTCCCTCAGCGCCAGCCCCGTTAGTAATCTCAGTAACCCCAGGTACCCTAACTACATGTTTCCAGCCCAAGGGATCCCGCAGGCCCAAATTGCCGGCTTCATCGGACCGCCGATACCTCAAAACCAGCGCTACATCCCCATCAACGGGTACCCGATCCCGCCGGGCTACGCTGCTTTCCCAGCCGCCCATTATCAACCACAAGGTCCGCCCAGGGTCATCCAGCACTGTCCTCCTCCAAAGAGCCGTTCTCCCAGCAGCGCCAGCGGATCGACGAGCACGGGTCACGTCACTAGCCTGCCGTCGTCGGGCTCCAACCAGGAGGCAAATATTCCTTTGCTGTCTCACATGTCCATTCCTAGTCACCCGGGGGGGATCGGTATTACGGTTTTTGGTAATAAAACTCAAAAACCCTACAAAATTGACTCGAAGCAGTCTTCCCTGTTGGGAGACACCAGCATCCATGGACCTAACGAATCTATGATTTCAGCGGAATTGTAAATAAAGCGAGGCCTTTGTAAATAGAACTATTTACAACGCAAAACTAGGAGGGCGTAGAAAAGATTTCTATTCAAATATTTTATTAAAGCTTCTTCTGGTTGTTCAACAGACATTGCAGCGAGTATCTTCTGTGAAGTTTAACTGCTTACCAGGATGGGCAGCCTCAACCAGACAGAGATCGTTGTGGTAGGAACACTTTGTCAATGGACGCATCGTTTCGTTAAGAGCCACCGACAAATCAAAAAGGAGAAGGGGGACTTCTTTGGGGTTTAGTTTCTTTTAAATGAAAGCATTTTATCCTACGCTTTTTCACAGCTTTTTAAACCTCTGATGTGGTTTAAATCACAGAAACTTTTATACTGAAAGCATATTTTAATATTTGTCTCTTTTTTAGGAGATGCAAACATTCGGAGATCTACTGGGTGTGCAATTTCAGTTCCAATAGCTAGCTAAAATATTTGTAAATTTTGCAGGCAAGGGTTACGTTTCAAATATGTGATCTGAGAGCCAAATAAATTACTTCAGGTAGGATTTTGGTCTTTTTTAAAGTTGGGAATCTGAGCTCAGTTTCAGACCAGAAGTCATTTCTATGGCAGCACGATAGCTTGAGTTATCAACTTGCAGCCTACAAAAATCGTCTGCTCTTGGCTCCTACAGATGGCTGGAGTTCTAAGAAATTGCCTTAAAGGACATGAAATTAAAGCATTTTAATTTCAGAACCTGAATCAACTTATTCAAAGGTAACATTTCATATTCTAGTAGTTAAAGCAGAAATTTTATATCCTTTTTGTTGCTATGCAACTGTTTAACGGAAAGTCTCCAAACCACGATTTTATGTATGACAATCAGTTTTTCCAGGAATATTTATTGTTTCAGATCAAGGTGTAATTTTGGTGACGATGACTCCAGCAACCCTGGAAAAAGGGAAACTCACATTCCATTAGGCAGCGAATCTGTTGATAGCAATTTTGTCTGTCAGTTCTAATAATGTGAATTAGTGTTAACTTTCGACTTCAAAATACGACATTTGTGTAATTACTAAAAATTCATTCAGGTGTAAGCAATCTAGATTATTCATTTGAAACCACTTAAATGAGCTACAAAAGCGCTGTGTACGTTACAGCTTTTCACAGACTCTTTTTTTGTACTGAATGAGTGTTTTTATTGTACACGGAACGAAAACAATCTTCTGCTCGGTTGACAATGTTGTATGATATGACTTTATTTTTATCTTTTTTTTTTTTTTGCACAAAAGTGTGATAATGTTTTGTACAGCAGAAGTGAAAATACATCTCTGCATTTTCTATCTCAGCCTGTTTCTTTTTCTTTTTAACCTGATGTAGATGTCCTTGAAGTATATTACGGTGATATTCAGCCACTACCTTATACAAATACTTTTCTTTGTTTTCACTGCATGCGTTTAATCACTGTATTACTTGATGATTGATTTATTAATTATGGGCATTTCAATTAGGCAAGCATGAAAATGTAATAACAAAGGCGATTTTATAATTAAGACGTGCATTTTTGTATTTCACGTGCCAGAGATGATATTAAACACTGATTATTTTATGCTGCTGTTTATTAAAACATCGTTTTAATGTAAACACATCAGTGTTTCCTCCATCTCGGTGTAAGATATTTGAAGTGTTTCCTATTTGACAGGCAGCTCAAATCTGCTCGCTCAGCTCAGGTAGGGAGTCGGCTGAAACGCTCGTGAGAGTTTTGCGACTCGTTCTTTGCAGACAGATTACTTCAGGGTGGCACTAAATGAATATTTGACTGAGCAGATATTGGCAGAGCACACAGGAGTGGGATGACGTGACCCGGTGAGGATGGTGAGGGTTTGGCTGCGATCTCCTCCGTGCCAAGGGCCGGCATCGCCCTTCCAGCTCTTCACAGAATCACAGAATCGCACAGTTGTTGAGGCTGGAAAAGCCCTCTGAGATCAAGTCCAGCCCATGATTCAACACCATCGCATCAGCTAAACCATGACACTAAGTGCCACATCCAGCCTCTCCTTAAACACCTCCAGGGACGGTGGCTCCGCCACTTCCCTGGGCAGTGCATCCCAGTATCTGACCATCCTCATCCTCTTCAGTTTGACATCGTACAAGCTGTCACGGGACGCGGCATTACAGCAGCACGCGGAGCTGTCGAGCTTCCTCTCCATCACACGAAACTGTCCTTGCGGCTCAAGAACAATCTGCAATTGTACGGCGAGGGCTTTTGTGATTTCGGAGGTGCTGTATGAACCTGAGGCGTCAGCTTCCACGGGGATTGAATTTACATCTCGATCAGCGATGAAAATACGTTACGTGCCAGCTCAGATTTTGCTTTGACTGAAGATTCAGACAGTAGTTACGTCTTAATAACTTCTCTATCTGTGTCAGGTTGTCAGATTCAAGTGCTAAAAAGTTACTTTTGAACGGAAGTGTTTTACAGGAATCATAGAATCCTAGAATGGCCTAGGCTGGAAGGGACCTTAGAGATCATCTAGTCCAACCTCCCTGCCATGGGCAGGGACGCCACCTCTCGACTAGACCAGGAATGAAGTGTTTTTCTCTGAATCATAGCTTTAACATCACCGGAAGGTAGGGAATGCCTTCTCACCTTTATACACAGCTTTGCAGTCCTCTCTTGGCATCTTCTTCATCAGACAGTGTCTATATTGTCCTTCTTGATCTATCTTCTCTTTCGCCCACTCCCACATATTTTTTCAAGAGGTTGCGTCTGTGCAGACAGTTCTTTTGCATCTTAAGCATCCAACTCATTGAGAAGGAAGAAGCCTTTATTCCACCCATTTTTTTTTCCTGTGGGATTTCTTAGCCTGTAATATTAAGTGCTTTGAATTTTCAATAGTTTCAGTTTAAAGGCAGTCGGCCACTTTTGGTTTCAGAAACAGAAGACACTATGTGCAGCCAAACAACAGAAAAAAAACAAACAAACCAGGAGCTACAGTGCAAACCCACTCAAAGCTCAATTCAGGGATTTTCCTGTATTTCAAAGTAAGCCTGGTCCTTAAGGTCAAAATATATTTAGGCTCACAGCTCACAGTAAACCAGCACTGAACAATACACCTGAAAACTCTTGCGAAGACCCCGTCCTGCCCTTCTCTCAGCAGGTGAAGTTTCTGCACTGTGAGGCTGAAATCCCAGGCTGGCTCACAACTGAAGCACGGGGAACAAATCCTAACATAGAGAGGGAGGAATTCATCGAGGAGAGATTAGAAGGGAGAAAAAATGCAGCTTCTATATAACAATTAGATAGCATGCAAAATAAATGTTGCCAGAATTTAAGGAATTACTTCTCAGGTAAGAATGCAGACACAGAGATGAAAGCTATTTTCACGGCAAATGAAGGAACAGGGAATCTTCCAGATTCCTAATGCTTCCCGTGAGAATCATCATCCCTTCTTCCTTCAAAGAGATGGGACAGCCAAGACTGTTGGAAATGCAGTAATGGGTTGAGAAGCTCCAGAGGTTTGGATATAAAACTCTGAATAAACACTGGTTACTAAGCCTTCAATCTGGAGAATCTCATTCCCTCCAGGTTAGCTTATATTTCTCTAAAAGAGTATAAATATTTGCTGATTTAAAAACCAAAATGCGGGTTCCGAAATGGAGATTTGTATCCTTTGTTCCCACCGAGGGGTGATTACAGTGGGTTTCTGCAGGCTCTGGATTGAAAGCAGAAAATAAAGCAGAGAACTGCTTGTGCAGAGATTTGGGCTGGAAGACTCAGAAGGGCCAGCATGTGCTTATCCAGAGCATGAGAAATTGTCAAAAGGAATCTTTTATTTGCTCAGCATGGATAAGGATATCCAAGAAGGTTGCAGGCTTGGAAATCCTCCGTGACATTTGCTTCTTGTTCCAAAATTGTTCTGTAGCCTACCTTCACCAGGAGAACTTTAAACCGTCCACCTAACTCAAAACACTCCTGACAGCAAGGCAGGCAGTAAAAAACGACCTCAAGTACAAACACATGTTCTTCCCTATGGACACAATTCCATGGAATGAGAACCTTCAGCTTCTCCTGCCTCTGGTTACTCTATTTATCAGGAGGTATTTGGCTCCTTGGCAGGATTCACTCTTTTCAGTATATCTGAACGTTGTCTCTTCACCAAGGGGAATCATTTGACCAAAGGGTACCTGGTTTATTCTATTTCATGCCATTAAGCCTAGCTTGGTCAAGGTAGACCAGGCACAACTTGGGTTAAAAAGAGGAGCTACGTGGCCTTTCAGGAGGCACTGGGTATGCTGGTGGGAAGATGGTGATGAGCTAAACCACCCTCCATCCTCTCACACCATGGCACAGGAGGCATTAAGTCCCTCAAAGCACTAAGGTAGCTCCATCACCCACCCTTCCCATGCAAGCATAGGGTACAATGGTTATAAATTATAGATATTAATTAGAAATTAATGATCACCCTAAAGCTCTGGGGAGGGCTGTCTACGCATGGCAAAGACGGTGGTCTTGTAGGGAGGCCAGTTCTGCGAAACATTTCTTCTTCTTGTTCTTTATGTCTTGGCATAAACCCCAGGGAAATCCACTAGGAGCTTTTGGACTGATTTTAGAGGTGGCTGAATCAGGCTTTCTGCCTTCTGGAGCGCTCTCAGGAGTTTTAATGAATTTAATGAGACCCTGAACCTTCAGGCTGTACCTGTGACAAATTGGATCTTGCAGTACGAGTTCACAAACACCTGCGCAGATTGTGTTCTGAAGCAGGTGCCCCAGCCAGCCAAAAGAGATGTGTTAACCAATTCATTGAAAAGAATGATTTTGTACAAAAAAAATGGCTTTTTCTCCCAAGTATGATAAAAAAAAAAAACAAAAAAAAATAGGGTCAATTTTGTATTTGCAGAAAAAAAATAAAATTAGAGCATCCTTACTCTACGTTACATTAATTTAAGCAGTATTTCTTTAAAAATGAGAATTCATCATCACTCTGTGGCCGGGGGATGGGATGAGCAGCCTTGCTAAGCTGAATTTCACCACCTCTGGTTCTGCTGGAGAAGCTCAGTGGAAAAATGAGGCAATGGGTTAAGCTAATGGAGACCAAACGTCTTTTGGAGAGGAAGCACCAGCTGCATTTTTCAAAAGCACCTCCTTTGTGCTCGTCAGACTTGCCTCCTGCTTCCTAAATTCCCCTCCCCAGATATCCCAGTGTCTTGCACCTTTGTCCCAGATACTTCTTTTGCTTGACACAGAGCCAGCACATTTATTCTGTCGAAAAGACAGTGGCCAAAGAATTCTCAGCCGCTCGACTTGCCACGCACGGCTAAACCGAGGAGGTCTGAGGGTGCTGGGACCGATCTTAAAGCATGTAGTCACCCAAACCACATCCTTGAGCTCTGGGAGAGCAGGCTTGCTTTCAGCTGCCTCTTCAACCATGACCTTTTTTTTTTTTCTTTTGTGTGGCCCCAAGTCTGCCCTCTCTATGGGTCCGAAAGCCTCTCTTAAAGATGCGACATTCAGGGAATCCGCGGAGCAATTTTTATCTTGCTGTGGGCTATCTTTTATAGGAGAGAATATTGCCCCCAAGCCAGCCAGTCTCTATCCCGTCATGTTTCTTCGTGTTTGATCTCTCAAAGATTAAAGTTCAGTATATTTCAGGACAGTTATATTGCTGAGGTAATATAAAATTATTAAAAACAGAGAGAGAGACAATATTGTGACTATACATCAAAAGCTCTTTAAGACAAAGGAGGGAAAATTGACTTGAAACTGGAATTATTAGAAGCATCTGTGGTGTCCTTTATTTTCCATTTACCAGTGCAACACATTTTGGAATGATGTCTGAAGGTTTCAAACTGGTAACCTGGTACTGCCTTAATTTTCTGATTTGTACCCTAAACCCCGTGGTTTATCTGCTCCTGCAGATGAGAACAACTGCTGGTTAATGAGTTTTGACCTTATGACACAAAGGAACATTTTCCAATGCTGCAATCCACAGAAAAAGAAGTCTATTTCTTTTCTTTCTCATCTGAGGAATTTAAAACAAAACAGAAATATCTATTAGATTCATAAGAAGCATGTGAGGTTTTAAACCACAACTAGTGCTTGGAGTATAATTGTATGTTTGTTTATATACATGGGTACACGTGTCTATGCGTACTCAAATGTTTTCAGTAGGCATTTCCATGATCTGAAAAGAAAAATCAATAGCATTTCAAAACAGTAATTAACAGGAATGAGGAGAACATTTATTTGAAGCCATCCTTCAGCGTAAACAAAGAGAAGCCGAGGGGATCCTCGGCGCATCAATAGAGGCATCACCAGCAGAGATAAAGTTGTTGTTAT